CGACACGACACACACACACACACACACACACACACACACACACACACACACACACACACACACACACACACACACACACACACACACACACACACACACACACACACACACACACACACACACATACCGCTGCAGACATCCGCAAGCTGATTGCGTACAATCTCGCCAGCGCCTCGCCAGCGGAGGTGGAGAAGATCAAGGTGCGAACAGCAAGTTGGGGGAAGCTGTCGCTGCGTTGATGGCCCACGCGATGGTTTGGTCATGTCATGGTCGTCTGTCCGTCTTGTCGATGTGCTGAACCAATGGCGCTCTTCTAAAGCCCACAACTTGTCTCTCCTTTCCTCCTCACAACCATGCACATCAACCAGGATGAGATGAACCGTGGCATGTACATTCGCCGCATGGACGCGCTCGAGTGGCTGCTGCAGCGCGCCTCCTCCCTCATCGACCAACGCAACAAGGACTGATGCGAGCCCACACAGACGCGCCAACAAAAGCAACCACCACCCCCCATGTCTGTCTGCAGCGTGTGTGCTATGGTGTGTGGTGTGTCGCCAGCCTCTCTGATCATCGGCATAGACAAGACATAACCCTTTGTGATCAAACTTGTTGATTTCCAGCATCATTTAATGATGAAGAGCTCGAAGTACGTGAGCGGCACATGGCAGTACAAGTGTGAAGGACTGCTCAGTCACAACAAAAGAGCACTGGCGACAGGATGACAGTGGCGGCGGGCGCAACAGTGATTGTCGATGACAGTGACGCGCGATTCCTTGCTTGTTGGCTGCTCTGGTGAACATGTTCAGAAGCACAGAGAGCAAAACGATTGTGTGAGTTCATTCCAACCAATCAAAAGTGCATGAAAGAAGTGTTGGTCGAATCTCAAGCAGAAACAAGTTTGGAGCAACACTCAGACAAATGCCTCTTTGTCGTTCATGAAACGTTTCCACGCAGGCTGAGAAGGCTTCGGAGAACCCAAAGCAAAACCAGCCCACTATCCGGAAATGTGACAGATCAGACTCGTCATTTTGTTCATCACCGTGCATGCCCTTTTCACAGAGTTGGTCTCTCGACCACGTACAGCAGAAAACACCATCACATGTGACAGCGCTGTCATGCTCACCTGTTCAGCGGGTTTTGGGCGTCCAACAAAAAATGGCACGGAAACAATGGGGGCACTTGGTTGTTCGGTCGGTGAGGTGGGGAAGTGGCCTGGGCTCAAACAAGAAGCGGGGGCACAACAACGAGAATGTGAGTGGATGGTTGAAGCGCACGCGAGTGCTGCTAATAATAAAGCTCAAACAAAGCACTCATGATAAGACCAGGTACACAACAGTGACGTGGTGAAGGAATCAGCGAAAGGTCATTCAACATATGTTGATTCAGCCCCGATAGATGGTTAAAGTTTGCCTAAGCTATCATCACACTCCTTCACAAACACAGAGAAGAGGCGGGAGAGAACACACAACAGTCAAACACCCATATGGGACCATCGCACAAACCTAATCGAGAAGTCGTGTGTCTGTCTGTTGGTCGATGAGAGTGGAAGAAGGAGAAAATGAACACGTGCACACACACAAGAGAAGCAAAGAAGGCCAGTGCAAACTTTTTCCCCCTTTCTGCTTGGCCACGTGGCAGAGCCGATGTTTATTTGAAGATGTGCTCGAAATATCCGACATGAACAAACCGCACCATTTTGCAGGTGCGTTGAAAATGTGCGAGAGCAAACAAAGGCAGAGAGAGAGAGAGAGGACAAGATGCAGAGACACAAACACACACACACACACACATCACACACATACACACACACACACACATACACACAGAGCAAGCAAAGTCAGCATGAATAACAACAAGCAAGCAACCAACCAACAAGGAAAAAAAAAAGAAGATCATCAAATCATCTCGTCATGTCATGCATGGTCTTTCTGCGCCTCCACAGCCAACTCTCTCTCTCTCTCTGTCTCTCGCACGCACACACACACACACACGCACACACACACACACACTGTCGTTCTCTCGAACAGGCTGCTATACATCTACAATGTTGTCAGCGTCGTAGTCATCAGTGTCAGAGCCATCGTCAGCGCCAGTGTCCGTTGCAGTTGCCGCTTTCGAAGTTGCAGCTTCAACGGCCACATAACCGTGGCTGGAGCCCTGCAAGGAGAGACACAAGAAGCACTGTCAGCACTGGAGGGAAAACAAGAAGAAGAAGAAGAAGAAGATGATGATGATGATGATGATGATGAACCAAGCACAGACACAGGTGCACACGTGCACAGGAGGCGAAAGATCCAAGGCACCCTTGAACACACACACACACACGCACACACACACACGCACGACGCGTACCGCGTGGCTGTCCTCGTCTTCGCTATCCGTCTCGCAGCCGTAATGATCCAAGATGGTTTCCAGGTTCTGGTAAACCTCCAAGTCCTCCAACAACACCACTTCCTCATCGTCATCGTGAGCAGCAAAGTCAACAACACCCTGCAAAGGCACCGTCGCTTCCGCTTCCTTGGCGCCATTACCCGAGGTGTCGCCACCATCATCACCATCGCCATTCGTGTTGGCACTGCCATCACCTAGCGCAACCGTGCCCATCATCTCGCGTGCCAGCTCGAGATCATCCTCCGTCATCGACGCGCCGTCCAGGCTGTCAAGCAGGTGCGAGCGCAGCGCATCAAAGTTCTGGTAGCCCTCAAGCGTGTCAATGGACGGTGTGCCTGCCTCCTCATCAGCATCGGCGTCTGCACCACACACCACCGACGATGAAGTGTCTCGGCGCTTCTTTCGCTGCTCCTCTTCCTCCTGCTGCTGCTGCTGCTTCGCTTTTTCGTGCTCTAGCAGCTGCTGCTCAAGCGCACGCTGCTGCTGCTCTGGCGCGAGCGTGGAAAGGGGGCGTGGCCGTGGTACCGGCCTACGCTGTACGCTTGCTGCCTGCTCTGTGTCAAACGTATCATCCTTCTCCTCCTCCTCCTCCTCCTCCCCTTCGCCGGCGTCGCCAGCGCGAAGCGGCTCCGGGTCACCGTACAGCTGCTCATCCTGTGGCTGCTGCTGTTGGTGCGTTGTGGGCGCAACGCGCTGATGCTGATCTGGATCACCATACAGTGCGTCATCGCCAGGTGCCGCTGCTGGGGTGACGGGTTTGTCGGGGTCGCCGTAAATGGCATCGCCCTGTGCCGGTGCTGTGCCCAATGTAGCAGGTGTCGGGTCACCGTACAGGTTGTCAGCAGCAGGCGGCGCTGCTGTCCGCGTCGTGCCGGTAAATGCGTCACCGTACACATCGCCCTCCGCCGGCAGCGGTGCTCGTGCTGCGTCATTGTTGCCTGCAGGCACGGGGTCACCATACATGTCATCGCCAGCTGGCAGCGGCTGCTGCTGTTGCTGTCGGAAGTCTTGGTCTGGGTCGCCGTACAGCGCAGAGACGGGCCTGGATGGTGGGTTTGTTGCCTGGCAACCAATCAGAAGTATCATGGAGAGCGGTGCGTGTGGCGAGGCAAGGGTGGCAACAAGAGCATGAAAGCGATAACCACGCATATTTGTTAAGCGTGGCAGAGAAAAGGGGAGAGATGGATGGATGGATGGATGGACAGAGGGATGGGATTGACAGATGGACATGGGCCGCACACAGACACACACAAGCAAACAAGCAAACAAGCAAACAAACAAGCAAACAAGCAAACAAGCAAACAAACAAACAAACAAACAAACAAACAAAACAAAACAAAACAAAACAAAACAAAACAAAGCAAAGCAAAACAAAACAAAACAAAAAAACAATCACACACCTCGCTGTAGATGGGAGCCGCCGTAGACCCAGCTGAGAACGACTTTGGCTTGTCGTACTCTGGCTGCGAGTAATCATACTCGTCGTGGCTGGGCGCCGTGGGGTAGGCGTACTCGTGCTCCACGGCAGGTCGCCCGCCAGGCTGCATGCTGCGCTCGAGTGTGTGTTGGTACGGCTCCCAATAGTCGCCCTCACCACCATTGTTGCTGGTGGAGGTGGCACCAGCGGTGTTGTTTGGTGCGGTGTCAGTGAGCGACTCGCCGTAGTCCAGGGTGGGGTCCGTGATGCTGGTGGTCAGCACCTGGTATGAGGTGGTGGTTGCATTGGAGCGCACAGACTCGCGAAGCAGCGACTGCCCAAACACGTTGTCTGCATCCGCACCACCAGCTTCATCGCCAGCATCACCACTGGTCGATGGCTGCTGTTGCTGGTCCGCTGGCGCTGCTGTCGCTGCAGTTGGTGGCGGCGGTGCTGGTCGTCGTGCCGCCATGCCTGGCTTTGGTTTTGGCTTTGGCTTTGGTTTCGGCTTGGGCTTGGGCGGTGTTGCCTTGCTCGCTGCGCTTGCAGCGTCATCACCATCCCCATCACCTCCATCAGCGGCACTCTGCTTGTCTTCTGCTGCGCCCTCAACCGCTGCCTGTGCGCCATCATCTCCCACGCGCACCGGTGCCGCTGCTTCCATTGCTGTTGCTGCTGTTGTTGCTGTTGTTGCTGGTGTGTCTGCGTGTTCGTCCGCTGGTGGCGGGGGTGCTGGCCGCTTGTCGCGCAGTGAGGCCGGCTTTGTCGCACGTGATATGGGCGGCGGCGGCGGCGTTGTTGGCGGTGCAAACGCAGGCGACTTGGGCAGCAGCACAGCATACTCCTCTTCAGGGCCAGGCGCCACGGCAGCACCGCTCACAGTACTGGTTGCCGTACGCGTCGCCGCAGTGGTGGTGGTGGTGGTGGTGATTGCTGGCAGGGTTGGCACGGTTGCGGGCGTTGGCGAGAATGCTGGCAGGGTTGGGACGGTGGCCGGTGCGGTGTTGGTCATGGGGGCGCCCCGTCGCATGGATGCAGACGCAGACGCAGATGCAGACGACACTGACACGGGTGTTGCTGCTGACGCTGACTGGCCAGGGTTGCCAGGCAGCGGCATGGCTGCACGCAAGGGCTGTGCTGGCGGCGATTCGGACGGTTGTTCCGGCTGCTTGGAGGCGTCTGCCGCCTGCGCTTTGCTCCTCAACTCCTCCAGTGCTTGCTCCAGGGCATCGCACCGCTCCGAGGAGAACCCTTGCGCAAGAAACTGCGACCCACGCAACCCAAGCACCTGCGGCCCTTCAAAGCCGTTGGTGTAAAACTTGCTGCGAAAGTCGGACAGGCCAGACTGCTTGATCCAGCGCAACACGTCAGCCGAGTCCCAGTCACGCGGGTTCGCAGGCAGGCCGCTGGTCTGTGGCTCCTTGCGCACAAACGTGGGGCGGCGGTGGCTGGCACGGTCACGACTGAGCGTGGGAATGTAGGATGGATCGTCCTCCTGCTCCGAAAAGTGCCGGATGGAGGTGCCACGCTGCATGAGCGATGGCGATGACGACGACGGTGGTGCCGTTGCTGCTGATGATGATGCTGTTGCTGCTGATGATGATGGTGTTGTTGATGATGGCGGGGGCAGTGGTGGAAGCGGCCTGCTCGTTATGGACGCAGCAGAGCCCTGGGCTGAAAGCGCTGGTGATGCTGCTGGCGTTGAGGCTGTGGTTGTGGTGTGCGGGGCGGACGGAAGTGGTGGTCGTCCTTGCGTGCTTGGCAATGGTGGTGGCGGCGCCACGGTCGTGGTGCTGTGTGAACCAGACATGTCGTTCTGCTGCTGCCCCGATGGTGACATGTTATCGAATCCGCCATAATACAGCTGCTGTTGCTGCTGCTGGGATGCTGCTGTTGACGATGATGACGATGATGATGATGTCGGAGCGCCGGTCGCTTCTTGAGCCGTGCCACTCTTCCGTACGCTCATTGTCATTGGCGGCGGCGGCGGCGGTACTTGGCCAGGGTGGCGGCGGTGTTGGGGTAGCGGCTGGCTTGGCAGCGGCAGCAGCGGCACTGGTGGCAGCTTTGATGGCAGGCGCACGTCACGTGGCGAGGGCGAGGCACTCCCGTCCACCGCTTGCTGCTGCTGTTGCTGTTGTTGGCTGCGTGTGAGCATGTTTCTGCTTGCAATGGCTGCATCTGGATCACCATACAAGTCCTCAGGAAGATCGTCGTAATCACCAGCGGTGCTGCTGCCGTCGTTGCCGCCCTCCACATCATACACCTCCCCATACATGTCCCCGCCACCCTGCGCAGGCGGAGGTGGTGCATGCATGTGCGGCTGTTGGTGCTGCTGCGATGGCGGGGGCGGTGGCGGTTGTGTGTCAACGGCATCATCAGCAGATGCGTCGCCATAGATTTCACCCATGGGTGCCACGTCACCGTACGTCTCATCAGAGGCGGGCGGTGGCGGCGAAACTGCTGCTGGTGTCTGTGGTGCCGGTGCTGGGGCGCGGGAAGGTGCCATGGGGGTTGCGGTTGGTGCTGCAGCCGTTGGGGTTGGCATTGTGGCAGTCACAGTGGCTGTGTTGTCGCTGCCGTGTGCGGTCCTGTCGCCATCTGCCTTGGCGCTGCCAATAGCAGGAGGGGTCGGGAACACCTTGACCCGCTGCTGTGTGGGTGGCGGTACAGGCGCTTTCTTCTTCTTCGGCGGCGCCGGTGGTGGCGTCTTCTTCTTCTTCTTCTTCGTCTTCGGGCCGGCACCAGACTCCTGACCCTGTTGTTGCTGTTGCTGTTGCTGCTGCTGTTGTTGTGGGAGTGCAGCTGTTGGTGGTGGCAGGGGCGGTGCCTGCTGCGGCGGGGCGTCGCCATCAATGTCGCCGTACACATCCTCCTGCACAGCTGCGCCTGGTGGCGGCGGTGGCGGCGCCTCCTGTGGCGGTCTATCATCAGCGTCACCATAAACCGCATCGCCACCCTGCAACTGCTGCTGCTGCTGCTGATTGTGTGTTGCTTGTGGTGGTGGTGGTGTAAACTGAGCGCCCGGGTGTGGCGGCAGCACGGCGTTGAGGCCGCCGCCAACGGAGCCAAACTGGCTGCGGGGCCGTGGTGCTGGCCGTGGTCGTGGTGACGGCTGCACCTCCTGCTGCTCCTGCTGCTGTTGGTGGTCGTGGTGTTGGATGGCCGGGTCTCCATAAATAGCGTCGGGGTAAGGAGGGGTAGCGGTGGCAGTGGTGGACGCCGTGGTGACGGGCGCATGCGTGTCTGGGTCACCATACACATCATCAGCTTGAAGAGCGGGCGGTGCTGTTGCTGTTGGGAATGACGATGCTGATGATGCCGACATGGTTGTTGTCGGCGGCGATGGCTGGAGGCCTGTATCGCCGTACACATCTGCGCCCGTTGGGGCAGTGGGCGACACCTGTGGCGTGTGTGTATGTGTGTGTGTGTGTGTGTGTGTGTGTGTGTGTATGTGTGTGTGTGTGTGTGTTTGGGGGGGGGGGTGACCGTTGCGTGTCAATGTGTGTGAGACAAAGGGTGGGGGGAAAGGGAGAGTCGACCCGCACAACGCTTACAAGGCAGCAAGCAAGTAATACGGTTCGCACACAACAGTGCGCACACACAAATACAATCGCATGCAGACAGCCAAGGAACAAAAGACATTGTGGGTGATAACCTGGTCGCGGTCTGTGTCTGACGTCTCGCCTTCGCCAATGGCGGGCAGAGAGCTCTTGCTCGTCTCCCGTGACGCCGTCTCGCTCAGGAAATTCTGCAGTGATGTGTGTGCAGTGTTGGGTGGTGATGTGATGAAGGGCGGTGGAATGATGGTGATACGGTGTAGCAGCAGCACGGCTGTATGGGATAGGGGTGTGACTGACACAACACGCAGTGCCTGTTTCGAACGACGCACGCACGCACGCACACGCAAGCGTACACACGCACGCACATGCACACACACACACGCCCATGCAGCCCGCCTGTGAATGTGCGTGTGCGTGCGCGCGTGCGCGTGTGCGTTGGTGGTTGATTGATTACCTCTGGGAGCTGGAGGGAGTAGCGGGAGCCCTTGGTCTGGGCAGCAGCCTCCATAATCGCCGTCACCCAGTGGTACCGGTCCATGTCGTTGGACGCGCACATGAACTTGCACTCGTTCTTGAAGTGCGCCAGGATCTTGACGCATTGAGGTTGTTCGTTGGTGTTGGTTGGCTGGTGTGTGAGCACGTGATGGCTGCGCACACGTCAACAAGCACACAAGCACACACACACACATACACACACAAGCACAACACACATACGAAACACGGACACAGACACAGACGAGCGCACACACAAACACACAAACACACACACTCACAGACAAGCACACACTCTCACCTGCTTGCGCGTGTTGGGCCAGAGCGGTTCGCTGAAGGGCTTGAGGCAGAAGCAGAGGTTTGTCGACGGCGCGTGTCGCGTGTGGCGCACAAAGTACACGTACATGTTCTTCAGGGGCCACTGCCCAAGGGAGCGGTCATACTCTTTTGCTGTTTGCGGCGGCTTCTTGTAGTACGTGAGCGTGCACTGGTTTCGCGACAGGATAAAGTGTCGTGACTTCCACGACTTGTGCGAGCCACCACGCTTCGACAGCGTCCCTGGTGTGTATTGTGTTGTGTTGTGTAGTGTTGTGTTGTGTTGTGTAGTGTTGGGTTGCGTGTGGTGTGCATGGGTGAGGGTGGACAATAGAGACAGCGAGGGCGTGTGGGTTGTGCATGGTCAGATGTTTGCGGGCGTTTGATTGTCGTGTCGGTGTGCGATTGCATTGCTAGAACACAATGCAGCTTCACCTGCAATGGTCTTGAGGGTGTCGTTTTGTGGAATGATGGGAACCTAAGACGAAGCAGCAGAAGAGGATGCACAAGCACATGCGCATGCAAGAACAAGTACGCAATGCGTGGGTGAGGTTCACGTGAAGTGCAGTGGCACGCTGTGCAAACGCACACTGGTCAGACATATAACGTGCACCCCAAAACAGAGCGCGCACACACACACACACATACACACACACACACACACGCACGCACGCACGCACACACACACACACGCACACACACACACACATGACAGCACCTGCGCGAGTTGGAAGCGACAGGACGCTCGAATCTCGTCTGGCCAGCTGGCGCGAACTTCGATCAGGCTCTCACCCCGGCTGATCCACCTGCACCAGTGGACACGCGGTGGTGATTGGCGGTGTGGGTGGAATGTTTGGTTGAGCGGCACTGGAACAGACAGTGGTGGTGAAGTAATGTTGCGAACAACACGAAAGCATACAACAGTTCCCTCGTGTCGTGCTGCAAAAACCACGCCCAAAACCAAACAAGCAGTACGGCAAGGCAAGCAAGAAAGACGCGTCAGAAGCGAGGAGATTGCTCTGCATCACGTACCGTTGGATTGGTGGCTGCTCGAACACCTCCATGAGCTGCCATCGCATGTTGGGTTCCAGGGTGAGGCGATGCTGACTCGTGCACAGGCTCACCACCAAGTCCACGGTCACAGTCGCGTCAACCTGCAGTGTTGTGTTGTTGTGTTGGTGTTGGTGTTGGGTGTTGTTGGGTGTTGTTGGGTTGTTCGTTGTTGGTTGTGTGAGCGCACGTGTGGTTGCGAGTACGCGTATGTAAGAGCAAGCGCACGAGTGAGTGCTTGCGAATCTGTGCACAGTAGAATGGAGAGTGGGCTTGGGGCAGATCACCGAGACAGGACAAGGATGCATGGCCCGAAGACCAAGACAGGACAGACAGAAGCCCACACGTGAGGACCCACCCACACCCACCCACACACACACACACACATACACACACACACACACCTGACCCACACATGACACGAACCTGCATGCGCATTTCCACGACGTCACTGGGCGTCTTCTGGTAGTAGACGGTGAGGATGGTGGATGCGGATCCCGTGAAGGTGCGCCCAATGTCCTCCATGTTGCCGCTGGTCATGAGGTCGTCCATGATTGATGTTGGTTCGAGTGCTTGAAAATCACACTGCTTGCTTGCAGGGGAGGGGGAGCACGTTCTTTGGCGGCCGCGTGCGTGCGCTTCAAGCCCGAGGGACCGCTCGCTTGATTGCTGGAGGCGATGGGGTGGGCGGATGCCAATCACCCTTGCTTGCCGCACGTCCACTCTCGCCACAACAAGCCAAGTACAAGCAGGCACAAGCAGCAGCGCAACAAGCGCACAACCAAAACAACAACAACTTGGACTGCTGGTGCTGCACCAAAGCGCCCAATTAAAGAAAAACTTGTGAAGGATTCAATGCACATTTATGACGAACAAGAGAGAAAAAAACAAAAAGGGAAGGAAGCAACGCAAAGAGAGAGAGAGAGAGCGACGGACGCTGCTGACGATGATGGAAGAACTGGACCTGTCTGCGTTGTTGATGAACGACGAGGAGGACGACGGAGGCAACGCAGGCGGCGACCTTGTAGACCAGCTGGGGTTTGGCAAGGGAAACGGACAGCCAGTGCAGCAGCAGCAGCAGCAGCAGAAGCCGTATGGCGTGCCGTCTTCATCGTTTGCAGAGACGCTGCAAACAACGACGAACAGCGGCAGCACCAGTCGCAGCACTGACGTCAGTGGCATCGGCCGTGGCCGTGGTGTCAGCGCAAGCAGCGAGGTGGACGACAGGGACCTGGCACACCGCTCCACCCACATTGACCACATTCTCGACATTCTCGGCATTTCACCGCTCAACGCAGTGGACCGCTGTCAATCCCCAGGTGAGCTTTTGTGTGTGTGTGTGTGTGTGTGTGTGTGTGTGTGTGTGTGTGTGGCTGAAGGTACCTTCTTCGTATCTGAGTTTGTCTCCTTGTGTGTTCAAAGCACGACTTGTGTCTCTGCACCACCCCCCCCTCCCCCCAACTGGCACTGCTCATGCTGCATACACACGCATGAACACACACACACACGCAGAGGATGCGCACGCAAGCCTAGAGGTGGTGGAGCGACTGCTGGACCTGCACCGCTACAACAAGCGCATGTATGAGGACTTGCAGTCCACGTAAGTCCACACCCTAATTGCTTGAGCGCTTCATAGCGTGCGTGCTTTAATAACGTGTACGCATGTTGCGCAGGCTGCAGTGAATTGGTGTTGCTTATCCAACCCACTTCGGCGGGTGTCCACAGTACTTACCGGTGCTCACATGTGTGTGTGTGTGCGTCATCGCGATTCACCAACAGCATGGACCGTCTCAAGGACGACCGGCACCAGCAGGACCTACAGAAGGCAGAACTGAAGGTGGGCAAGATGTGTGTGTGTGTGTGTGAGGAAGTGGGAAGGACGACAGGGCGCGGGGTGCGTGCTTGTGTGCAGCCGAGTCATTCCCTTGCTCTCTCCCTTTCCTCCCAAAGCCACCACCCACGCATACCCACAACTGCACATGCCGTAAACACCACGCCATCCCTTGACAACCCTCTCTCCCCCTCCCATGCCTCCCCCCCGTCACTCAGAACACGATACGGGAGGTTGAGCGGGCCCGTGATCAGGTGCAAGAGGAGCTGCGCCAGGCCCGCGTCGCCATCTCCCGCCTGCAGTCAGACCTCAAGACCCAGCAGGCAGAGGTAAGGTGTTTTGTGTCTGTATCTGTGTGTGTGTCTGTGTGTCTGTGTGTGTATCTGTGTGTGTCTGTATCTGTGTGTGTCTGTCTGTGTCTGTGTGTGTCTGTGTCTGTGAGTCTGTGTGTGGATGACATCTGTCCCCATGACTTTTCTTGCTGCGACCCTTGCTGTACATTTCTTGCCTTTGGCGACCTCACCTTCACCCTCCGCCCGCTGTGCCTGCGACCAGTCGAAGCGCGTGAAGCAGAATGCGGACACGCTCATCAACCAGCACGTGCACGAGCGCAAGCGGCTGCAGCGCCAGTACGACGCCCTCAGAGAAGCGCTCAGCAAGGTTGCCAAGCACAAATTGGGGTTTGGGGGGTTCATGTATTTGACACGTGTGTGTGTGTGTGTGTGTGTGTGTGTGTGTGTGTGTGTGTGTGTGTGTGTGTGTGTGTGTGTGTGTGTGTGTGTGTTTACAGTGTGCACAGGGGATGACTTCGGGTGCCTTCTCAGCTCACACACACACATGTGGCACGTGTGCAGAAAATTTCGCAGCAGGAGTCGCGTGGGCTGTCCATCCACTGCCTGAACGAAGAGAACAGGTGCTGTGCATTGGCTGTCGCACCCACAGGCTGCACGCTCTGTGTGTGTGTGTGTGTGTGTGTGTGTGTGTGTGTGTGTGTGAGTATGTGTGTGTGTGTGCTGCTCCTCTTCTCACTGCTCACTGCGGTATCACGTCACCATCACCACACCAACCCATGCACATGGTCACCATCGCCATTGTCGTCGTCGTCGTTGCTGCCAGGTTGACGCGTGCCGGTGGTTCTCGTGGCAAGTGGGCCGTTCCAAAGAAGTGAGATGTCATTCACATGTGCATGTGTGCGTGTGTGCTTGTGCTTGTGTACGGCACTTCCTTCCGTGCACTGCCACCTGTCTTAACGCCTGTGGCGTTTCGCAATCATGGTGCCCACCCTAGCTACCATCATCCCCGCGTTCCTTACCACCACCACCACCACCATCATCCCCACGTTCCTTACCACCACCACCACAACCACCACCACCACCATCATCCCCACGTTCCTTACCACCACCACCACCACCACCACCACCACCAGTGCGGCCGGGGCGATTGAGTCGGAGATGCAGGAGATGCTCGAGCGACGCGTTCATGCCCTCAAGGACGAGAACGACCACATGCGACAGGCCCTCGCCGTGAGTTGTCCCTGCTGCCGAAAGATAGTGGTGGTAGGAGGTGCTGCTGCTGCTGCTGATGCTGCTGCTGCTGCTGATGACGATGATGATGATGATGATGATGATGATGATGATGATGATGATGATGATGATGATATCGCTCATATGTCTGTTCTCTCACCTTGCCGTCCATCACCACCACCACCACCACCACCAGTCGCTTGATGTTGACCTCGGGCAGGTGCTCCGCTCCGCCAATGTGCCCTCGTCCCCGCTCGATGAGTCATCCACATCACTCAACGACTCGTTTGATGGTGAGCACACATGTGCGCGCGCGTATGTGTGTGTGTGTGTGTGTCCGCGCGTGTGTGTCTGTGTCTGTGTCTGTCTGTCTGTCTGTCTGTCTGTCTGTCTGTGTCTGTCTGTCTATCTGTGTTGTTGTGTACGCGTGCATAAATGCAACACACGCTGGCCTACCCCTCATTCAACGCTACACCCACTTCACTTCACCACCACCACCACATCTCACCACCACATCTCACCACCATCATCACCATCACCAGCGCGGCGGCCGCTCGGGTCTGGGCAGTTCCAGCTGCCGTTTGATGTCGCCGGCGAGCGGATTGAGCGCTCGCTGAAGAAGAAGATGCAGCACTTGCAGCGGCAGCTCGAGGACGTCACCAGGCGCCACACGGAGAACACAGGTGAGGTCGGTGGTGGTGGTGGTGGTGATGATGATGATGTTGCTGTTGCTGCTGCTGCTGCTGCTGCTGTTGCTGCTGCTGCTGCTGATGGTGACGTGTTCATGTGGTTTGTTTATCTGTATGTGTGTGCGCGCTTGTGTCTCTGGCACTTCACTTCCTTCGTGGATGTGTGTGTGCCATTGCGTCATACTCACGACGCGTGCGCTTGGTTTCCATGCCACCACGATATTTCTTGTGTTGCTTCTCTTGTTTCCGCTCCTGCAGATACGGAGGATGTCGCCAAGCTCAAGGTGAACACACACCCCACACCTACTCGCACACACACACACACATACACACACTCACACAATTACGTGCACACTTTCTCGTTCTTTGAACTCTGTGTGTCACCACGTACCAACCTCTCCCTCCCCTCACCTCTGTCATCATGATCACCACCATTCCCTCCTCCACATCAGGCGGAGATTGCTGAGCTCAAGGAGGTGATGCAGCAGCAGCAGCAGCTGTTGCTCGAGGCGGAGGCAGGGCTGGCATCGTCGTCATTCGCAAAGTGCGGAAACAACAACACCATCACTGCACTGCTGTTGGGTGTGGATTGCCATTCCTCCTCTCACACTCACTCACTCACTCACTCACTCACTCACACCCAACCTTGCCTCACTCACTCACTTCCCGTATTCACCCTCTCACTCACCCCACCCACCCACTCACTCACTCACTCACTCACTTCCCGCATTCACTCACTCACTCACTCACTCACTCACTCACTCACTCACTCACTTCCCGCATTCACTCACTCACTTACTCCTCCCTCAACCGTCAACATCACCACCACCGCCATCGCCACCAAGCAGGGAGCACTCGTTCCTGCAGTCGCCGGGCGCCCGCGCACCGGCAGCAAACGCGTCGTTTGTCGCGCGCAAGGAAACGTCGCTGCAGAAGGAGCGGTGAGGGATTGGTGGTGATGGCGGTGATGGCGGTGGTGATTGTGCTGGTCGCCGTGGTCGTGGTGCATGGCCTCTTTGAATGTGCACGCGTGTTTGTTCACAATGCTTCAGTGTCACACACACACGCACGCACACACGCACGCACATACACACTCTCACACATACCACGTACACACTGTCTGTTCTCACCCACCCTGCCACCAACAACACCATCCCCCCTTCACGCCTTCAATGTTTCATGTGCAGCGAGCAACTGAACGCGTGGGCGCTGGTGTTGGCGGAGAAAGAGGCCAACTTGGCTCACGAGTTTGCAGAGCTGAAGAGAGCCGAGCTCAGGCAGAAAGTCAGGTATGTGTGTGTGTGTGTGTGTGCTGACTGGCTGCCTTTCTCACCAACTCCTCTCTCCATTCCTTCCTCCGCCCCTTCCACCCTTCCACCCCACCCTTCATCTCACCTGTTGCCCTCCTCCCACCCATCTCGTTCTTCACAGGACGCCTGGGGCCTTGAGCTGGCTGGACACGCCAACAAAGCCGTCCTCATCATCGCTCTCCACAACATCGTCTGTCTCCAACACATTCGCGCAGCCACCGCAATCATCATCAGCAGCAGCACCAACCGGAACAGGTGGTACTAGTGTTGGTGAGCGCGGTCGTGGCTCGTCCGCCCTCCACCACTCCGTGTCTGCACCGCTGACCAGCACGCCACCGTCGACATCAACACCTGCTAGCACCTCCGCGGCCAACGCAGGCACGGGCGAGCCGGGCCAGGCGTTGTCGACATCTTCGCCACTGCGCGAAATGAAACGCGCAAGCGATTTCCTGCGCCAGGACGGTGCGCACACAGGACATGACACCAGCGGCAGCAACAACAGTGACAGCAACAACGACATTTACCGCAAGCACACCAGCAGAACCAACACCCACACCAGCAATGGCAATGATGACAATGATGATGGTGGTGAGGGTGAGGGTGATGCAGACCTTGATGCTGCGTTCCCATTGTCATCCTTCTCCCCAATCCGTCGCGGGTCTGCCGGCAACAGCAGTCGAGGCGGTAACGACGGCACCAACAGCAGCACCAGTCTGGCCACATCTGTTCGCAGCAACTACGAAGCGGCCACACCCATTATGAACAGGCTGGCTGATCTTGATGCCATGAGCAACCCAGACGGTGACGGCCGTGGTGGTGGTGGTGGTGGTGGTGGTCATGATGTGTCCAACGCTTCCACCACCCGCAGCACCAACCTCTCCCCGATTGTCAGCATGACCGGCAGCAATGGCGGTGGCGGTGGCGATGGTGATCGTGATCGTGATGTTGCGAGCATGGTGTTGGATGAGAGAGACGAATATGCGCAGCACCTCAAACACATGCACGACTATGAGTACCGCCGATTCCGCGACCAACCCACCCTCGCTCAGCCACGTGATGACAACAACAATGATGATGGTGATGACGGTGATGGTGATGATAATGGTGGCCGTGCTGGCGGTCGTGGTGGTCGCCAGCAGCAGCAACAAGTTCACGGTTGGTCAGCGAGTGCACACGCAACACCGCAGCAGCAACGGGCGCACACAGCAAGCACACACGGCCGTGGTGGCGCCGACACCAACACCTCCAACACAAACGCCAAGAGCGCGACCATGGCGGCGGCAATGTCAACACCACCACCCGCATCGTCATCATTGTCAGCATCAGCGCTGGTCAGTCCCCGGTTCAGTGACTTCAACACGGTCATGTCTGAGATTTCAACACCGCGACCAGCATTGCGGTCCTCTGCCTTCCTCCCGAGTTACGTCACACCTGCACGCGCCAGCAGTGGTGGTGGCGGTGATGGTGGTGGCAGCAGGCGGCGCCATGATGATCGTGGTGGTGGCAGGCTGGATGTTTCTTCATCGCCGATGCGAAGCGACACGAGCTGGCACCAGCTGTCACAAGGTGACGACTTTTGTGTGTGTTCTTGTGTGTGTGTGTGTGTGTGTGTGTGCGTGTGTGCGTGTGTGCGTGCGTGCGTGTGTGTGCGAGTGGATGTGTGTGCGTGTGCGTGTGTGTGTGTGCGTGCGCGGCAGTATTACCTTCCCTGCTCGCCTTTCCTGCTGACCTTGCCCATGCTGCTTGACCTGTGATGCTTCCCTCTCACCCGCGTGTACGCCCCACTTCAGACTCGCACACATCGCCCCAATACGCGCGACAGCGGCAAGACCACCAGCAACAAGACAGGGGTGAGGGGGGATCGGAAGAGGCGGAAGACATGCCACCGAGTTGGTTGGCTGGCGGTGTTGGTCTGGAGCGGCTGGAGCAGCTCAAATCGCGACTGCACGCCGTTGGCATTGTCTCGCCAAGCAAACGCAACACAGGCACACACGCGCAACAACAGCAGCAGCGAGGAGGGGCGGAAGGAACATCCAGGGCAGTGGATGCAACAAAAACGGGAGAGGAAGCAGCAGATGCTGCAGGCACCATTCATTTCGCAGGTCTGTATGTGTGTGTTCGTGTTTGTGTGTGTATGTATGTGTGTGTGTGTGTGTGTGTGTGTGTGTGTGTGGTGGGGGGGGGGGTGTGTGTGGGGGTGGGTGTGTGTGTGGGTGTGTGGGTGTGATGGCTGTCACTGATGTTCTTTCCTGTGATTGTCCTCCCTGTTTTCGACCATTCACACCTGCCCGCGTGCTCACGTGTTCACGTGTGTGTTTGGGTTCAGGCCACGACTTTGTGCCGCTGTCCCAACCAGATCTCTCCATCAGCTTTGACGGCCGCATCTGAGCACTTGCTCTCGTGTGTGTGTGTGTGTGTGTGTGTGTGTGTGTGTGTGTGTGTGTGTGTGTGTGTGTGTGTGTGTGCGACACTGCGGGTGTTTAGCCATCTCCATGCACTGTTTTGTTGTTGACATGTGTTCTTTCGTGATCACACGCCGCGTTGATGATGGTGATGATGATGATGATGATGATGATGGTGATGATGATGATGATGATGGCTTGTTGTCTGACGTTTCTTGTCGTCCTGCATGTGCTTGTGCATAAACCCGCATTCCTGCCATCACTGCGCCCAGACACATGCAAGCTGTGCTGTGACTGCGAATTCGTGGTGGGTATCATGTACTTGAAAAGGACAATGGGAAGTTGGTGGGTGTTGTGGCTGTTGGTATCACGATGGGTGATGAAACTGGACACTTGAATGGCAGGTGTCTGTGATTTGACATAATTGTGTGTGTGTGCGTGTGTGTGTGTGTATGTGTGTGTGTGTGTGTGTGTGTGTGGTTTTGCGACAGACCTAGCGCATGAAGAGAGGTTGGGAACACGAAGGGAAAGGGGGTACGAGAACGAAGGAAAGGTGGTGACAGTGTGCGGAATGGTTGCATATGCCAAAGCATTCGCGCGTGCGAAAGGAGGGGAAAGTGAACAAGCAATCCACACGCACAGAGCGCGCACACAAACACAGCCACACATTGGCACCATTGTGTGTGTGTGTGTGCGCGCGTGCGTGTGTGTGTGTGTGTGTGTGTGTGTGTGTGTGTGTGTGTGTGTGTGTGTGTGTGTGTGTGTGTGTGTGTGTGTGTGTGTGTGTGTGTGTGTGTGTGTGTTTTAGAAATCAAACTTGCGGGTGTCCTTCTTCGTCTTGACAAAGACAAAGTAGCCAGCCACGGCAACAATGACCAGCACGATGATGACGGCGGCGATGGTGAGCGTGTTTGAGTCGTCATTGTCGCCAGCATTGCCCTTGGTCACCTCGTCGCCATATTGGGGGTCGACGGGCACCTTTGATCCGCCGCTCTCCGCCTCGCGCTTCATGTCCTGCAGTGGTGGTGGTGGTGATGGAATAATGGTGATGGTGATGGTGGAATGGTGATGGAGTGATGATGGAAGAAGCGATGAGGGGTGACACACATTGTACAGTGTTCATCAGGAGGCCACAGCGTGACACACACGCACACACTCTCTCTCACGCACACACACACACACACAACCGCACACGATTCCGTGTTGCTCGTAAGGGCTTCACCTCCTCAATGCGGCGTTTGACTTCTTCGCGTTCCGCCTGCGACATCCCGGATGGTTCAGAAACTTTCATGGAGATGACGTCATGGTTGTCGGCAAGATCGCCCGTTGCCGCCGTCAGACCAAAGTAGTAGTTGCGCGGCAGATACACGCGACGCACAATGAAGCACTCCTCAAAGTCTACATGGCACGCATGGCAGAGTAGGGCATTGTTGACCAGGCGGAAGGGGGAGAAGGGAAGCGGGTGTTATTTTTCTTTTTTTGTGTGGTGGGGGGGAGGGTTGGAGATGTGTATTGCATTGTGATGGTGGTGGAACGATGCGTGCGCGAGTAGTGCACATATTCAAACAAGGACACGTTCGCATACGCGCGTGCCCTCCTCATTCTCCTTCTCATGCCAAGCCACACGGGCCACCCACCGTCGTCGTCGGCGTCGATGTAGACGCGGAGGAGGTTGTTCTGGTACACGATGCGTGCATACACGGGGTGGTCGTCATCCGCTGTCGAGCGGAACCGAATCGGGCACCCTGATGGCAGATGGTGACAGGTGGCGGCGGTGGGGGGGGGTTGCGTGGTGGTGGTTTGCGTGGAAGAGTGTGAGGTTGAGCTGCACTTTGAATGTTGGCTGTACGGGTTGCACTGCTTCTACAAGTTGTGCCTGCACACAACACACATACACACACACGCACGCATGCACATATGCAAGTGCACAAATACACACATGCACATGCATCATCAATATCCACACGCACGGAGGTGACAGCTCACCTGCAACGCGGGAAGCGCCGCCGTCACTATCATGATCATACGAGAGCATGCCGTCGCCAAACATGACGGAGATATACTGGGAGTGGCCCTGGTGCAAATTGCTGTACGTGTCAAAGAAGACGCCCATGCCTGCAGGCAGCCGTGTGGGAATTGGGTGGTGATGGAGGGAGGAGGTGTGTGTGTGTGTGTGTGAATGTGTGTGTGTGTGTATGCGAGACAGACAGAGAGTGCGTGTGTGAATGTGTGTGTGAATGTGTGTGTGTGTGTGTGTGTGTGTGTGTGAATGTGTGTGTGTGCGAATGTGTGCGAGTGTGTGTGTGTGTGTGAGTGGGTGAATATGCGACAGAGAAGGCGAGAGTCCCTGAGCTTGCGTGCACAAGCTTGCGTCCGCAAGCACACACAGGCACACCATGGTACACGGTATGTGACATACCGATGAACTTGTCCTGGTTGCCAAAGACGGGGCCCTCGAGTGCGCGGTCCTTCGTGTACCAGACAGCCATGCCATCGCCAAACAGACGCGTGCCTGACCCACGTGTGTGTGTGTGTGTGTGTGTGTGTGTGTGTAGTGTGTGTGTGTGTGTGTGTGT